ACAATAAAAGATATAAATGTATTTAAATAAAGTAAAAATTTAACATTAGCCGTGTTATTCTTAATGCGCATGCTCGGAAAGAATAGCCTCATACACAGGTCAGATCTTCTTGCTATGTCATCGCTGTCATCATTAGCGTATTTTCTCTTCTTTTCTTTAATCTTGGAATTTTCTAGTTCTACTAAGTATTTCTGTTATTTTTCTTAGTGCTGTGCTGTATCAGTGTGTTTATCGAGTGTTTTTTTCTTCAAGTGGTTTATTATTGACGTACTCTTAACCATAACCAAACTTTCTTTAATGATATTCTGTTGCGAGACTACTTCGCTTACATGAAGTTATCTTTAATGCGCATGCTCAGTAACATTGACATAATTTTAATTTATTAATTACTATAAATCAATATTGTTCTATTTATAAATATATAAATTCTATAATTCTTTTAGTTTGTCACTTGGGGTTTGAAACTTCTAAAATATTTCTAATATTGCTAGAATATCGTGATATTTAATAATAAATATATAATATGTTCAAAGTACATAAGAACGAAAATCGACCTAGTAAAAATACTGAGAAATTCTTCATGACAAGGTGTACTAGGGGTTGCCTATTATGTGACGTCACTACTAAAAAGGTCTATTGGTTGGTTTCACACTTATGTTAATAATTTCTATATACATCAGTTAATTTTTATTACAACTAACACATTATTTTTCTGTAGACATAATCTACTGTGGGTTGTACACTTAAGCATAAATTCTAACAATACATAAACTTTTTTCTTTTTTACACTAAAATTTCTCGGTAATTACCTTCTAAAATGTAGAGCAATGTGGCTAACAATTATTGTGAAAGTCACTTAGTGAAATGCGTTTCATCTAACGCAAACTGTAATAAGAATAAATCATACAGCAACAAATCTTTAGCATCATCATCTATCAATAATAGAAACTTTTTCTCGTACAGGGTGTCCGCAATATGGTTCGCTCAATACGCGATAGTGTTGATTATAGGAAATAAATTTTGTGTTTGAAGGCAATCAGTTCCTTGCATTGAAGTTAAGGGGGATTATGTTGAGAAAAAATATTTAGAGAACATTTCCAGTGCCCTTCTAATAAGTTTTTTTTTTGTATAAATCGATTTCTACTTCCGTTAAAATTTTAGATTTCTTTAGACGATATCCAATCGATGACTTTTCAGGTAGGGCATCATTTTCGTGAATCTTTTTATATTAATTTTCTTTAACACTCAATGTACGTTTTAATATACAGGGTGTCCCACTAAGGTAGGCGAGGTACGATATTAGACCCTAGATCTCGAGGAAAACAATTTTGATTAGTAGGTTCTTTTACAAACGCATTTTCTTTGGTAATTAAATGTCTTTTCATTAGCGTCGTGTTCCTCAATTCATTATCATTATTTATTTTTTGCCCACTAATTTGCGAATAACTTGATGACAAAAAAATATATCGAACCTTTTTAGACGTCAAAATCTAGCTATTTGTATACTCTCCAAACTAACCTATAAAAAGTTTTCTCCTGCTATTTCACTTTTTTAGGAAAACGTGAAACAACCTAAACTGGGATAAATAGCGTCAATAAATAAACAACACTTTCATTAGCAATTTCAAACTTATACTATATTCATGAATTTTTTGTGCTGAATTCATTTATGTAGGGAAAACTATAGCATTACATTTAAAATTTTTGAGAAAAATCCATAAAACGGCATTCTTTTGAAATAACGCCATCTATAGGTTTCCATATTGAAGTAAACGACATTACGCATTCACCACGAGATAAAGCATGAAAAGACCTTTCCAACGAGGTATAACACTGTGGGCTTTTGATGAGTCAATCCTTAAAAAAATGCATATTTCTGATCAGACATTAGGGACTTCCCCCACCCTTTCTATCGAGAGATAGAACAGAATGTCAATAACAAATCTATGTTTTGGTATGTAGATTGCGCCCTCTAGCGGCCGAGCTACGAACTTGAAAACTATTTCCAGCGATTTATCTTGGTCGATTTATTGATCAAAATTTTTTTCCCGAAGTTCTATAATCTATACTTCCGCTTATATCGTAACTCGCCGACTTTAGTGGGACACCCTGTACAAAGCCCTCATAAATGTTTACAAGTCAAGTGACCGTTAAGCTTAGTAAACTAGCATTGCAGGGCTGGTAACGAAAAATTCCTAGATATTGGCGTCACCAATATTGATTCGTTTACAATGAACAATGACAAACCGATACGTCTACGCTCGAGATAATGAATAGAATCTCGTGAAAAATTACAGCAACTGATGTTCCAAATAAAATTACTGACTATGATGGAAGTTTCACGAAGTTGTATTCAAAATAAGCCAGTGACACATTTTTAGATGTTTTCTTAATATTATTTTCAAGGATCTCGTTGAGTATAGTTAGTTTTTCAATACTGGAAAAATTGCTCTCTTTTTGGATAATTATAATCTTCAATCAATATCAACATATTATTTAAGGATTGATTTGGAAAAGCTCATTTGATAGATATAAAAATTAGTAGTTATTTGTTAGAACTACATATATACTTGTTTGTATTATTTATAACTCAAGTAAAATATACATAGACATCTACGTGTCGTCGTGAATCGCTACCAGTGTAATTTTAATAATTTTACGTCGTTTTTATTTCGTGCGCATCATTCGCAGTATTATTTATCAGTCTACTTTGATTGAAATATGAAATTACGTTCTCTGACCTGCTTATAACTAAACAAAAACGAATCGGACCCATGTTCATATAAGAAAAAATGTTTGAAATTAACGCCGCTACCATTAAAGTTTGTCATAGAGCTTGTAGAACATCCTGTATAGGTATAGGTATTTATTGACTTGTCCAACTATATTTGTTTTTTAAATACGCCGTATATTTTCATTATCTGCTTAGAAAATCTTCCAGTTCTCTAACTATAGACCCCCTATTTCAGTACACCACCTGTTCAAGCCATTCTTAATGCCTTGAAGATTTTTAATTTTTTTTCAGCGGCTTTCTACACCTCAACAGGCAAATATTCGTCATCGGTTAAAAAATGCATTTCTCTTTCCAGTTCATTTATAAGTACTTTTAATATTTTAGCACTATTTTTTCTTAATATTCGCAGAATTTCTCAACATGGCAAATGTAACAAATATGGCAACCGAAACTAATGACTTGATACTTATACCTATCGGGTAAAATCTGATCTATACAGAGTGATTTACAACTTATTCAAAAAATGGGAATAGATACGTCCTGAAAAATGGAGTCAATATCATAAAAAAATTTTTTTAATCCTTATAGTTTCCGAGAAAAAAATATTGAAATTGTAGTATTTACAACTCTTACATCGTTGGGCTACTATAATCTCTAGCGTCATTCGTGTTGCACGCTGTACGCAATGCGCTCTCTCATCACGTGGCCCCAGGCGATTGCGAATACTGAAATCCGTTCTTAGTATTAACGTTTTTGCGATAGTGTTTACATTAGTTTTTCAACTGTCAAAAATGGCTTACGTGTATAGCAACTCGGAGTTGATGGATATCGTTTTAGTTTATGGTGAAGTAAGATAACATTTGTGTTATGGCGAAGCAATTGTGTTACGGTGAAGCAAGATAACATTTGTGTTAGTTAGTAGAAACTGAATGAGATGGGCCCAAATGTGTTTACAAAGCCTGCAAAATATTTTTATATTGTCACATGTTGGTTAGCGATTTGTTTTATTTAAAATTTAGCTACGCCACTGGATTCTAGACCCCCTCAATTGAATTAGTACCAAATTTTATGAAAAATATTCATTGCTAATCATAGAAGTGATTTTTATGGTTTTTATCATTTCGTTCTTCCTAAGCGAAATGAGAAAACAACGGAATCATAATAATTTTTTCTTATAAAACAAATGTTTTAGCATATTCCTATATATATTTTTAAATAATATCCGTAAATAACTTAATATTAGTCCTATCCTGTCGAAGATGATCTGTTATTCATGAAAACTGACTGAATGAAATAAAATAAATTATCAAAATATAAATAGTAAGCAAGGTTGCTTTGTACCTGAACCTGAATTTCTCAACTTAAAATATTCTGTGAAAATGACGTTGTTTATATATTACGTAACATTGTGCTGTCAGCAAATTTACTTAACGTTTCTGCGATAGTGTTTACATTAGTTTTTCAAGTGTCAAAAATGGCTTACGTGTATAGCAACTCGGAGTTGATAGATATCGTTTTAGTTTATGTGAAGTAAGATAACATTTGTGTTATGGTGAAGCAATTGTGTTATGGCGAAGCAAGACAACATTATTTTGTGTTAGTTCGTAGAAATTGGATAAGACGGGCCCAAGTGTGACGTGCACAAAACAGTCGTTGTTACATCAGGTGTGCCAAATTATTTTATTAATTAAAACCACAAATTTATTTTATTAATTAATAATAACAATAGCGGCCAAAGCAGAATTTGCTGATATAAAATAGGTGTCACAAAATTTTCTTTATTTCTTTCAATGGGAAAGAAATTCTTTCAATTTTTGTCTTTTGTCGACTGAATGCTTTGCCTTGAGGAAGTTCAGGTTTTACAGTGGACCAGTTTCCAATGCCGCGCAGAAGTGTATTTTTAAATCATTTTCGAAGCATTTTTGATTTTTTTTTACAAAATTATATTTGTAAGAGTCCCCTGTACATTCAAAAATTTGGATAAGTTATATATCACCCTGTATATTTTATAAATCTTCATTTAATTTATCTTAAAAGTAAAAATTTTTTACTCTCTGTTTCGTCAATTTAGTCGCTTTTGCATTTTCAAAAATCAAAAACTTATCATTATTGAAAAAAAAAACTAATTAAAATCACATTTATCCATCGCAAATGGAAAGATGCGCGAATAATAATTACCGGAGAAATTAACCTGACCGTCCGCAACCTTCTATTGGTCATCAGTCTGCATCCTCCGTCGACCATAGATCCACTTATATACCCGGTGCACTTGAATCCAAGCACAGATTCTCTTTCTCGTACCGTATAGTCGAGGGAACCTGCGACTCACCTGCCTCGCGAACCTCATCATCCCGTTCAATCGCTCTGACCGACATTTATATCTAGGCATCCATGATATAGATTTATTGTTGTTTGACACAACTGCAATCGCGTTCGGCCGCCTGAATTCAGTACAGCTTTAGCTTCTGTTGATCGGAACAAGCGAGGGCTTGTTGATATTTTGTGTGGATATTTCTTGTGGTGGAAAGGACTTTGACGAGCTGAATTTTACTCGAATTAGTGTCGTTCTTGGTATTTTTTTACAATGGTGAAGGACTTGTCAAGTGAGTTTTTTTCGTTATTACTAATTTTTGACACAATAAAACATGTTACAGTAATATTTTTTCAAACTAAACCGACAAAATACGAGTATAAAGGTGTATTGAAACATGTCAATTTGAATACAATTTAAATAATACAAATTTTTTTAAATATTGTCGAAAATATTGAAAACTGCGTTAACAATTATTTTATACAGTGCGGCACATTTTAAATTGAAACAATCTTAAAAAATTGTATTCAATTACTTCGACTTTTTTTAAGATACTACGTCAGGTGACATTTGAATTTATATTCAGTGATCAAAGCCTGCTAAATATTTGTTTGTCACATGTTGGTTAGCGATTTGTTTCATTTAAAATCTAACTACATCACTGGATTCTAGACAACCCTCAATTGAATTAGTACCAAATTTTATGAAAAATATACGCCGCTAATCCTAAAAGTGATTTTTATAGTTTTTATCATCATTTCGTTCTGCCTAAGTGGAGTGAGCAAAATATGGAATCATAATAAATTTTTCATTTTATTAGTATATTTATGTATATTTTTAAATAATATCCGTAAATAACTTAATATTAGTCCTACTCTGTCGAAGATGATCTGTTATTCATGAAAACTGACTGAATCAAAGAAAATAAATTATCCAAATATAAATAGTAAGCAAGGTTGCTTTGTACCTGAACCTGAATTTCTCAACATAAAATATTCTGTAAAAATAACGTTGTTTATATATTACATAACATTGTGCTGTCAGCAAATTTACTTACTATTAAATCAATTATATTGGCGGAAGACCATTGTCAGGGATATTCACAAGGTAAACATATTCTTTACGGACTGGGATATTGTTTTTTGAAGCAATACCTATGGAGAAAGCATTATATTTTAATAAAGAACTAAAATTTTGCTTATAAATATAAAGTTACAATTTCTTTTTATTTTTTTAACAATTGTTTGTAATTGTACCATATTTTTCATGTTATTGCACAGAGAATCTCATATAGAAAACTTGTACTAATTGTAAAAGTAAATTTCTCTTAATCTTGGTTTTTCTGAGATTTCTCATGCTCACAATACGTTGCAAAAAGTAGGGCAAAGATTCAAATTATAAGTTTAAAAATGTGTTAAATAATTTAGAAAAAATTTCTAGGCAAATTGCCTAGTCCAAGTAGTCAGTTTTGATCTAATATTTAATCTGATAAGTAATCTTGGATTTTACGGATAAAGTGTAACCTTATACCCCTTATTAATCTCATACGTTGATCTGTTATCAATTTATTATTTTTTTAAGGAAATGTTCCGGCACAATGTGTTTTTCCCAGATTTGCAAGATATGTTTCATTGGCATGATAATTTTCTACGAAATATTTATACAGCGAGCGTTAGAATGCTTTAACATAGTGTGTTCACGAAATTTTGAAAAAAAAATTATTTGTCTGTTTACTTATTGCAATAAACATAGGATATGTTCTGGGATCTGGCAGTATAAATCCAAAATAAAAATGAAATCAGTCTAAGAAATTATTTATAAATTTCCCATTGTAATATGTACCAAATTTATTTGTATTTTCTTAATTATTATCCATGTCAGGAATATTAAAAGAACAGAATAGTTGAACAAATATTTTTATTAGGTAGATTTCATTGTTGATCTCTGTCTCTTTGACATATTTATGTCCTATATTTTGTAACTGTTACACTTTTATTTCATTTAATACATTAATGTTAACTGATGCTGTACGTAAAAACATTTTATCTCAGACAACTTTTATTGTACCTATTTATCCATGGGTCATTTGTGACTTATTGTCGTTACCTTACGTACTGATAAAAGCGGGTGTGAACTCTGTTGATCCGTCTTAATTCGTCAACAATATGTCAATATAGGGATTAATTTTTTTTTATCATCAGATTAATCTCTTAGTCTATCGCTATTTTTAATACGGCAAACATATTTAGCATCAATTAAAATAGAAGATAAATGGCTTTAGCTCCTACGCTTCGAAGCAGCAACTATCATAAATAATAGAAGTTTATTTTCCACTTTCTGTCGAGATGCCACTAATCCCTAGGTATTGTTAACGAAAATACTAGTTGACATAGGAATCAGGATATTTTTTCGTTATTGTTTGGATTATATCTGTAACAGATATATATCTAAATCTACACTTTACGAAACAACTATTACGACATTTTTAATAATATATTAATAAATATGGGTTTTCTTCGAAAACAATATAAATAAATATTGTTAGTACCTAATTATTTATCTATATTTGGGTTTTTAAATTAATTTCATGTTTTTTTTTTAATATCCGTATATATTTTTTTGATTTATTGCACACGTAAGTCCAAACTAATATAATTTCTAGAAATATGAGTTTTTTGATATAGTAATGATAATCATATGTTTAATTTGTATATATTTAAATATTACAAACCTTTGCTAATTGATCCAGCAAATTAATGAAGGAATTTGCCAAGTTTTTCGACACGACACGACATGTAATACATAAATTGTAGTAAGTTAGTTCTATTAAATTGTCCGGCAATTGTAGGTAATAGAGTTAGTTTTAATTTATTTGCCAATTTTGATGAATTTTTTGCGACAATTATATTATATTCCACAATTTTCACACTTCTTTTTACTTTCAAATTTTCAGAATAAGTTACATTCACTAGCCACAGGAATAAAAAATACCTTAAATTTTTAGGCGATTTTCAAAAGGCTATAGCTTTGCGGAAAATGGTCGAAAATCGAGAGGAAAAAAAATTTCAAAGTTCCGCAGTCTACAATAAATTTTTTACAGTCAATTTTTAAATTGGCATTTGAAAACAAAGTGGAAACCGTGGTGAAAAATAAAGGACAATTTTTTTGACGATTGTGTTGCAGTGTGAATATTGTAAAAAATAATTTTGTTTTCTTTTTTTTCCGATAATTGACATTTTTTAATGACAAAAAATGAATTTTTGCGAAAAACACAATTACATACAATTACAATAATTTAAGAAATGAATAAAAGAAGCAACATCTCCCCTTTAAATGATTTTTAGCAATAGTTACAATTTCAATCATTCGAATCACAATGAAAGAAAAATCGAAGCAGCAGGGTTTCTTTGGGATATTTTGAGGTCGAAAAAATTCTGCTGTGAATTAATATTATTTTTCAATTTGGTCAATGAAAAAAAAGTTCGGTACAATTTTAGAGGTGAGTCATCTCCAATGAACACCTTGTAGTGCTTCAATTAACTTTAAATCATAGTCAAAGAAGACTAGTAGTAAACCTAAGTCATGTACCAAATTCCTTCTGCGGTAAAATGTTGCAGAGAATCACTGTACCTCTTTTTGCTAAAATACTAAAAACCAGTTGCTTTTATGGAAAAGTTTGGAACTCAGAACTGCGTTGTAAGACATTGTTGTTTTAATTCTTTATTTGCATATTTATGATTTCATAGGAAAACAATAACATACTTTATTCAACTTACTTTTTTGTAGGTACTATTTATAGCGTATATTCTTTTTGCGCAGATTAATAATAATCAATTATTAATAAACCAGTGCTTGACTGGCAAAATGACTAACATACATACTTATGTTTACTCAAGAGCAATCTCTAAATGTAAATATTAATTAATAGCACCTCACGACTTGCTACTACTGCTTTCTTCGAACTTCGTTCCCATGCTCTCTTAAACTAGAAAAGAGTCCTTTATTTGTTTTATTTTAGTACGGCTTCAGTAGTGGTAAAAGCGGCGTACGCAGCTTTCATTATTATGTTCACAAGATAAGACATTAGCAATAAGTTTTGTTTTGCAAGAAACTAGGTACTTAGAAAGCAATGAAAGTCTATAAACGCAATTGACGCTTCAATAAATTAGGTGCAAGATTCTACAGGGTAGACAAATTTCAAGGATCCTTGGTGGTTTCTCTGATTTGCGATATTGATTTCTGTAAAATAGAATCCATATGATATTTTCCTTCATTTTTTTTCAATTAGAGGAAAACTTCAAGCGGACCATTTTATTTTAACTGGGTATTTCTGCTACACTGAAAAGCAAAATGTTTTAGTAAATAGAAGGTGTCCCAAAATTCACGGAAGGAATAATTTTGATAGAAAACACAGGTTTTTAATTAAAAATTGGTTCATAAAATGTACAGTGCTTTGCTGGTACATACGCACTCTTTTGTCGAAATTTTCCATGATAGTTTTGTATAAATCGTTGATACAGCGCCCAATTTCAAATTTCAAATCTTCAAAAACCCCGAAGAAGACGGTCTTAAGTCACCAATACGGGAAATTACACTACCAAGAACAGACTCATGCCGTAACTGAATTGTTTCTCAAGCTGTATGGCATGTGACACCGTCTTGTTGAAGCCACATGTCGTCTACATCCATATCTTGCAATTTAGGTACAAAAAACTGGATTATCATGTCAAGGTAGCGAGCACCATTACCTGATCAGCCGCATTTTCGAAGAAAAATGGTTCGATGGTGCTCCCAGCCCAAAAGCTGCATCAAATAGTGATACTGAGCTTCGTTTTAATCTCATCATTTGTTGTAGCTGCATTTGTTTCTTAACAATCACTCGCGGATTTTGATTTACTGAGCCTCGACGATTTTGTCGATTAATGAAGCCATCAATGTGAAAGTAAACTTCATCGTTAAGGACGATTTTGTTCAAAAAATCAGCATCTACTTGTTCCATAAATCATTCAAGGATCTCTCTTCCCTTTGCGTGGTTAGTATGCTTCAGTTCTTGAGGCAATTGTACTTTGTAAACATGAAGATATAGCTCTTTCGTGAGATTACGCTATAGAGAGCTTCTCGAAATGTCCAATTTTTGATCACGGTGCCGAATTGATGTTCCTGGACTCTCAGCAACACTCTCACGAACTGCTCCAATGTTTTTTGTTGAACGACTTGTTGAAGGACGACTAGAGTGTTTAAAATCACTAATTGATCCAGTCTCTCTGAATTTTTCTCTTCAGATTAATGAAG